TGAATTACGTGTCAATTAAAAAGTAATTGAAATCCTTCTTATACTAAAATTATGCATCGAATACTAAAACTTTACATTAGAATATCTATGAATTATATTACTAGAACATGAATTATATTAAGAATATCTACTATGAATATCTATTAAGGTCTAGTCTATAGTTACACCAATTATATACAGCTATTTCAATTAAGGTTGTCCACGAGCAAAGCGGAAAAGTCGAATACGAGCGCGAAAGGCTGCTGGGAACCGTTTTGAAAATTCATTAATTTGTTAACGAATCCCAGCAGCCTTTCGCGCTCGTATTCGACTTTTCCGCTTTGCTCGTGGACAACCTTAATTGAAATAGCTGTATACATTATCTTTGAACTTTTGAAGCGTGATAGTTAATAAAACAGTCTTTAAAACGATTCGTATTTAAAACCGACAAGTCATATTTTGAGGTAGACCTAAGATTTATATTTCTTGAATATAGTGGTGGTAGTAAATAATTTGTGGTTATTGTTAATAGATGTCGAGTTAAAAAGTTCTCTGCATAGTCTATCTCTTCTATTCGCCAAGGATTGTAGGCCTATTATTTTTAACGCGTCACCATAATCTTCCTCTGGGTAAAGCATGCGTAGAGGTTACATGATCATTGCACTTAAGATCTTGTCTATATATATATATATATATATGATTTCGATATTTTTTGTTGAGTTTTTTTCTCAAGGTCTTGCTTACTTTATTTCCTTCCACTCGTGAGCTCACTACGTGATCATAGTGATCAAACGTAGTGTCCAGGCCTTGTGACCCTGGATGGACACTTAAAAGGAAGGAAACCACACTGTAAACGTAAAGAATTTTATTCATTATTGATATTAAAATTACATAGTCGTGTGTACGGTTCGTTCCTCTACGGCCACAACCTCTTCTATTTCTTCCCATCTTCGCACACTATTTCAAACCTAGGAGAAGCATTGTAAGACCAGGGTTGTCTGCCAGTTATATATACTCTAGGCAATGTCGAATGTCAAACAAAGACATAAAAATATGAAATCTATTATGCTCGTTATTAAATTAACTAGAGCACTTTTAGTGCAATGATCTAATTGTTTACTTAAACACCTGTAACCTTATTGTTGGTGGCATAATTACCCTTCGTTTCTACCTGTTGCACTATGAATTGCCTAGAGTATATATAACTGGCAGACAACCCTGGTCTTACAATGCTTCTCCTAGGTTTGAAATAGTGTGCGAAGATGGGAAGAAATAGAAGAGGTCGTGGCCGTAGAGGAACGAACCGTACACACGACTATGTAATTTTAATATCAATATTGAATAAAATTCTTTACGTTTACAGTGTGGTTTCCTTCCTTTTAAGTGTCCATCCAGGGTCACAAGGCCTGGACACTACGTTTGATCACTATGATCACTATAGTGAGCTCACGAGTGGAAGGAAATAAAGTAAGCAAGACCTTGAGAAAAAAACTCAACAAAAAATATCGAAATCATATATTATGCTCGTTCGGGGTACCACGTTCTTGAGCACTCTATAGTTCATTGTATAGACTTATGCGCGCCTCGTACTTAGCGAGTGTTGCTGCTTTGTCGAATGTCAAACAAAGACATAAAAATATAAAATATATATATATATATATATATATATATATATATATATATATATATATATATATATATAATGGTTATACCAAGAATTTTGGCAGATTGGACGACTTCAAAAGCTTGGTTGTTAACAGTTATTGGGTCGTCTGTATGTCGATGTCTAGTAAAGTCAATACGGAGCTCCTTACATTCCTGAGAATTTAACTGAAAATTATTTTCGTTCGACCAGCAATTTATCTGATCCACCTGTTTCTGTAGTCCACTTGATCCGGTTTTGGGAATTATTTCGGAAACTCATGTAGTGTCGTCTGCGAATTTCCACAAGTCAGAGGAGTTACCAGCGATCGCTAAATGTCGCGTATCGCTAAAAAAAGCAAAGGGCCAATCTTGCTACCTTGCGGAATTCCAGCCTGAACTATTTCGGAATTAGAAAAGCGGTCAGAATTAAGTTTTAGACGCTGTGATCTGCCACGTAGAAGATCAGCAATAGTTTGGCAATTAAAATATTGTGGTCCACTAAGTCAAACGCTTTTCTGTTATCCAGAAGCGCAACCCTGACGCGCGAACCAGTGCCATCCGTGTTTTCCAACCAGCGATGTGACATCGAAATTAAAGCTAATGTAGTGCATGAATTGGGCACAAAACCAAATTGTTTTGGATCCATTGCTTTCAGCAGCGTAGGTCTTATTTTCTGCTCAATGATACATGACTCAGCAATCTTAGATAAAGTTGGTGTTAATGAGATTGGTCTTAAGTCTTTGTTGAAGTCTTACCTCCAATGACAACTGTTTTTGGTAAGGGAGTAACATATGATACTCGTGAGTAGGGTTATCGATGAAAAAGTGTTAATGAGCAATTTGGAATCAACATGTTTTGGATGGCTGTTTATATATTGTTTATTGTCAGAGTGATAAATGATAATTAATCTGCTTGATTGTGATTTGCTGTCTTTGACTGTCTTCTCAAGGACAACTTTTGCTCACTTAATAGAAACACATAAAAAGTTTCTCTGATCAAAGTATAATTTAATTTGATCAAAGGATTTTTAACTGTTAAAACAGTTGAAAATAATCGTATCAGTGTATATATGGGAACCAGGCTGGCTCGCCTAAGCGAGATCTTGACTAATTTGTGAAGCCCAAACAGATCTCGCCTAGGTGGGCTGGCTTGCTTAAGCCGCTGAATACAAATATATTGTTGTAATTAAGACATTTGATCTATAATTTTGAAAATTAATTGTTTTGGTGAGTCAGCCCGCCACAGAATGAAATCATGCATGCAGCTCGCCAAAGCAGTTAACCGGGCTGTTAACCGGGCTGGCTCGCCTCCATATAAACACAGCCTAAGACATTTATAGTTTATAAAAGATTTTGATCACATAACTTATATGATGTAAACAAACTGAACTAATAACTACTAGTAATTTTTTTTCCTAATTGTAAGTAAATGCTTGCACATAAGAACCTATAATTTAAGAACCTTTCAGGCTAAATTTTTTTATTTAGATTTGCACGCTTAATAAGAATTTGTTTAGGCTAGCATTTAAGGTTCTTATTTTATCACATGGAAATATCAAATCTAGAAATGTATATAAATCAAAGAAAATATACTCCTCACAAAGTAATGAAAACGATCCAGAACCCTGAAAATGTCGTTGAGGTAAATAAAGTGTAGCTTTGCAGCTAGTATAGCTTTACATATATAGCTATAGCTATATATGCTGGCATTTTTAGATCACTTGTGCACAATTAATATACATGCATTTAAATTATACCTCACATACCGAAAATGAGTCGCTCTTCTTTAAGAACCTGTTTATATTAACCTAATTTCCAAGCACTAATGATCATGCAGCCACTATATGTATTGTCCAAAAGTGAGGTCTGAGGGTTTGAAATCAGGGCTTTCTTTCTCCTAGATGGATTGCCTGTCTGGTTTCAAGCTGCCAATGCACACAAGCCAGTTCATATTGTACTATTAGATCATTTAGTTCCAATATAAGAATAGGTTTTCATCATATAGTGTCAATATGAGAGTAATAATTAATTCATACTACCAGTTCATAATTTCAAAACATACATTTTTATGACACAAAAAAGTTGAATATAAACTTCGCGTCTCGTACTCTCGTCACTGTGACATTGTCAATCTCTTGAACTCTTCTGCTGTTTATAACAGCTTCCGAAATCATCTCCATAGCGCGCACGAGCTTGAACAAAAGCTGTTTATCCGGCTTTTGCACGGTCAAACATATCGCCCTTAGCCTTGGCTTTGCCACGAAGACAGGAACTGCAGCCACATTCTCAATCACACTTGTTTCGAATTCGTCAAGCGAAAAGCTTTTCCCAAGTGCTTCTGTCATAATGACAACAACTCTGGCAACATGTTTCGAGGTAGTGATACCGCATGAACTATTTTCATTATTAGACACAAACTCCAAAGGTAAACACAAACTATTCGAACTCACACCTTCGGGAAATCGGTTCGCCACCACAGTTGTCGATCTATCAAATCACACAAGGTTCAAAGCGGCCTTCTTATTCACGATGTTTAAATTAAAAAGTTACAGTATAAGATTGTGTTATTGTGTACAAGAAATGCAGTGAAGTATTATCAAACATTGCACTTCGGTCACAAATTATGTGGTCACTTCGGTCAAATTATTAAATGTTACTTTAACGTGTTTTGAACTCATCATATACTTCATTTTATATAATTAATGTGGATCAAAACAAAAACGTAAACAAAGCCCGCGCATGCGCAGAAGAGACTGTAACCTACCTTTAAGCAAGCAACGTTTTTGACAACACGAACGGCATGAGTAACGTTAAAAGACTGTGTCAAGAATGTTGATTGGTTGATAACGTCAAATTTGCTTCCGGTCAACGTTCGTATTGTCAAAAACGTCGCTTTTAATTGCTTAAGCTCGCTATTTGAAAACAACACTGTGTTGCTCCTTCGTAGCATCGTCACGCCATCGTTGATCTACGGCTTGATAGCGCGTGCGCATTTGCGCTGCTAAAGAAACATCGTGTGTTCCGGGGGAAAGATGCTTTACACAACATCAGAAGCGAATGTTCAAAAATTTACAAAAATTTACATTAACGACAACGATTCATCGAAATTTTTGTGAACTTGGAAAAACGACAAACGAATATTCAAATAAGGCAACTGAAATTGCCCAAATAACCTTCAAAGCAGTGATTAAGTACAATAAATTATTACAAACATAAATCGTATGCACCCCCCGGAAAGTTTACTCTATGACGGAATGAATAAATGAATGAATGAATGAATAAATTGATGCCTGACTGACTTATTCGTTTGAATTTTCGCCATTCATCATAATACTGTAAAGTTTCGAAGAAACTTTACACTAAAAATGTTCCAAATACCTGTGCAGTTCTTTCCGTCCCCAGTGAAACCTTCGTAACATTCACAACGGTATGATCCATAAGTAATGTCACATGTGGCATTGTCATGGCAGAAACCTCCAACCATGCATTCATCAATGTCTTAGAACATTAAAAAACACCCATAAAAATTTAGCGTCTGTTTCTACGAACTGGCAAATATACAAGTAAAAGCATTCATCATAAAGGTTGATATATTTATATGGTAGTCCTTTAATAAATGTGTATCCAGGAACTTAGAACAAGAAAATCTCAAGAAAACGTTTTATAGGCTGCTTAATTCCAACCACTTTTATAAATCAGTTTATTCATGGAGAACTATCTATTGTAGAAACTAAGTTAGTTTAGTTAAGCAAACGGCAGTCTATTGAAAGTTTTCCTCAGCAACAAGGTTGAAGAACGTTTCTCACAAAACTTCATACAAAATTCTCACATTAAACTTACGGGAGAATCGTAAGGAATCATACTTATGGTAGCGTATCAATAATTTTTAAATACGGTCAAGATTATCAAATTTTTGCTGATAATATTGCAGACATAATGGTGTACTAAAGGATAAAACTTCACACCCAATTTAAATATGATTTGAAGAAGTTATATTTATAAAAAAATGTCTATATATACCTTCACAATATGTGCCATTGCCAGTGAGACCTTCCGAACAGTTGCATTCATATGATCCAGGGATATCATTACATGTGGCATTCACGTGACACGGAGGATGCTCATCATCACAGTCAATTATATCTAAAACAAAAAGTAAATTTTAATAATAGTTTCGTGATTTACAACACCGATATGGATTCTTTGTCCTCTTACATAATTTATATACAAACTAAGTCAAATGTTTCAAATTCAACTCTAGCAGTTATTTTCCAACTCTAGCAGTTATTTTCAGTCTATTCAGGTTCTGTCTCACAACATGGACTAGAAATTGAAACAGTTCACAATTTTCGTAATTGTAAATATTAAGTAGAAATAGTCTAGGACCTGTATATGAGTGTGTATGCATTTCATTTAGGACAGATAATCTCAACCGTTTTAGGGCAAGTTGACCATGACGGTCGACATGGTAACGCTGCCCGAACCCCAATCCGGGGCGAAACGTCCGAAACTGACCACACCCAAAAACGACGCTCTCGCCATAGTGCTATCTACCAAACCATATAACCTTTGGCTATTCTGGGGTGCATATATGGTTCAGAGATGGTGCTTTTTAAAAAAGGGTGGTCATTGGTAAGTGTGAAATGCCTAGCACTGATATTTCACAAGAAAATGGCCATGCAATACTCATAGTCAAACGTCAATTTGTGACTTACAAATTCAGATAAACAGCAGTGGACCTACATTACCATTTTTCCTAAACCTTTTTTATAGAAACATAATTGGTACTTATTTATGTATACTATCACTGCTTTGCTGTAAAATAGTTAATACTTTGTGACTGAAATAATAATTTGAAATGTACATACCTCCTGCAAATGCATGGACGTATTTGGCCAAATTCTCCACTTTACTCCGCTGTTTATCGAAATATGTACTTCAGCTCAGACATAATGGTATCAAGCACATTTTAAACAAGTTTTAAATGGGTTTTAAGCGGATCCTAGCTGTTTAACCATCGATAAGGTAAAATCACAACTTCGTCCAATTCGGCGCCATTTTGTCAGCCGATGTCGGCTGTAAACAATTCGGCCGTGTTATTCTTCCATCCAAGCCATTTTCATTCCAATAATAACAAATTGAATCCTTTGTTAAGGGTATCAAAATAAATATGTAAACAAAATAGAAAAAATGCAGCATTTTATCACCCTGTAAAATGTTGCTTCCGATTCTTTCAAAACAATCCGTACAACTCTCGCGTGGCAAAGCAACAGCGGTGGGGGATTTTGAAGATAAAAGCAAATCAAAAGCACGCAGTAACAGCAGTGTTGTAAGACGAACAATCAACATTTAGTTTATAGTATGACATATTCATATTGTTGCTACAACAAATAAAACAAACGTTTGTATGATTGTATTTAGTTTTTACTCCATTTCACGCAGCCTTCTTCTATCTTCGTGAAAAAATTAACCCGCCTGTCACCGACTTGTTGCTTTGCCACGCGAGATTTGTACGGAATGTTTTGAAAGAATCGAAAGCAACATTTTACAGGGTGATAAAATGCTGCATTTGTTCTATTTTGTTTACATATTTATTTTGATACCCTTAACAAAGTGTTCAATTTGTTATTATTGGAATGAAAATGGCTTAGATGGAAGAATAACAAGGCCGAATTGTTTACAACCGACATGGGATGATAAAATGGTGCCGAATTGGACAAAGTTGTGGTTTCACCTTGTCGATGGTTAAACAGCTACGATCTGCTTGTAACCTATTTAAAACTTGCTTAAAAAGTGCTTGATACCATTATGTCTGAGCTGATGTACATATTTGGAAGGATTTCAACTTGATTGGCCTTAAACAGCGGAGTAAAATGGAGAATTTGGCCAAATGCGTCCATTTGCAGGAGGTAGGTACATTTCAAATTATTATTACTTCGGTCACTAAGTATTAATAACCACCCCTTGAAGCACCATCTCTGAACCACATAAGTACCTCAGAATAGTCAAAGCTTTGATGGTTTGCTAGATAGCACTATGATGAGGGCGTCGTTTTTGGGTGTGGTCAGTTTCGGACGTTTCGCCCCGGATTGGGGGTTCGGGTAGGGTTACATGTCGACCGTCATGGTCAACTTGCGCTAAAACAGTTGAGATTATCTGTCCTAACTGAAATGCATACAAACTCATATACAGGTCCTAGACTAAAAAAGTGATTAGTCGAACAAGCAGAAAGCTGGGATAACTTTCGAGCAGGTTTACTTACACCCGTTTTCAAAATTACGCGACCTCTCTGAAAAATACTCTTACTTCAAATGTCTTCAATTTAATACCAAAGCTGAACAAAAATGAGTTAGATAACTTAGATATACAAACTAGCCCACAATACAAACCATCACAACAGAAATATGTGTCGTGAATAACTTTTAAAGTTTGAAAAATAACAATTTATCCTGGAATTTAGCTGTCAGTATAAAACACGCGCGCTAGACTATAACGGTGATGTTATGATTTTGTTTGTGCTTAAATTTTGCAATAATTCTCACTAAAATATCTTGAAAATCATTGTAAGCCTGTTTATATAAAGCATACAAAGCACATACATCGACATGGAACCACAAAACTCAAAGTTTAAACTTCGTGACAGAAGGACATAAAACTGACATGTCAACTCTAGCATTTTCGTCCTTGGTCGCGTAATTTTCAAAACGGGTGAAAAGAATGTAAGAAGAAATTGTAATCACTTTCGTCAGGAGGTTGTTGTTTGTTGTTTTTGTCAATTTGATTTTCTGTCAGCAGAACAACTCAAAACGTTTTAGCAACAACATTTGTTGAGGTAATGCTCACACGCCAAGGGTATAAGCTTATCACATTTTGTTGGATTTAGATGCAAATTAAATTAAATTGGACATTTATCACTTTCATTGCTGGAGGATGTCAGTTTCAGAATGCATCCTTGTTGTTCTCCTACTTTTATTAGCAGCTGATTCGAGTGTCTCTGCAGAATGCTGTCTAGTTAATGAACTTCAAGAACTCTACTATGCTGTGTTATTAAGTGTGTTGTCACCTTGACAGATGGTTCCATTAAGAAAATATCCTTCAATGCACATGCATTCAAAGCTACTAGGCGTGTTTGAACACGTGGACAACATTTCCGGGCAGTATGTTCCAACACAACATTCATCGTAATCTGAAAGGACAAGAAAAGAATGAAAAACATTGGCAATACCATAGTTAATAAACCTGCATGGTCAGAAAGTTTTTAAAGCTTCTTGGTCCTTATTGTTATATTTCTGGGAGACGGATCATGGTTCCAAAAAGCTATAGTGTTGCTGGTGCATGATATGTATTTAAAGTGGTGATGCGCAGGTAGTTGTTGCGCAGGTAGTTGTTGCGCAGGTAGTTGGTGATGCGCAGCTCGTTGTTCATCAGTGTGTTGATAAACACGCCCACAATTGCCAATGTAGGCGAGACACAGGGCAACCTTAATCCACTGGTGTTCAAATATTTTCGTGCACTAATTACAATGGCAGCTACTGTAGCTACTCACCAAATGCTACGATTAATCTTTGTGGTCCATCATTGATATTGAAAACATTTATCTTTACCCAAGTGCGTTTGTTATATTTCTCAATTCTATTATTTTCTTTGTCCAACACGTACAGATGCATGTAGTCTTGCGCCAGATCAATTTCCCCATCATAATAGATATTAAGAGGCACTGTTTCACCAGTGTAAGATGATCTCGTCAGATTGCGTTTTTCTGTGGAAACGACGAAATTTATCCAGTACACGACCTCATTATCTTGATCAACAGACAATGCTTGTGCGGAACCATCAAAGTTTATTTCTTGCATCTCAAATGATGTAATATCAACTCTAACAATAGGAGGTTCGGATGATTTTGCAATCACTAGGTATCTATAAATATTTCAAAATAAAGTAATAAAGCCAATGCATGTGCCAAGAAACTTCTCTAAAGCATTCCTTAATACAGTATCCAGAACGTTTTGAACACCACGCTAAGATAGGGTTGAAGTGGAAAACTGGATTAACGCAGCAATTTTGTAGGTCCGTATTACGGTGCTTCAAATCTGTATCTAATAATATCTAATAATATCTATATAATCAATAAATATACAAATAGTGGACAATTACCGATTTTTTGTGTCCATCTCCATGCCTTTTATACCAGAAAGAGAATTCAAAGCTTGAACTGGGGCATCTTCTCCACTGCTGATATTGACTGAGTTGATTTTTAATGTTACACTATTTTGGTAGTATAGAACACCGCGTTCACCATCATATGCAAACTCTGCAATATTTGCTTTATTGATTAGAACTGTCGAATTTAAACCATTCAAAGCAACACTGTATAGGTTCTCCGTATCATCATAATACAACAATCTTCGGCTGTATTTGTCATATCCTAATATATTATTATCTGCAGTAGGAATGCTAACTGAGGAATTTGATATGATCCGTGATGATGTAGAGTAGAATAGCATCTCATCTTCACAGGTTTCTAAAAAAACATGAATAAATAATTAAATTCTCGTAATTTACTTGGCTATAATTACGTGATATGGATTTTCATTTTGTATCACGTTTTGCTAAGGGTCTGTAGACGGAAATTTCATGCTTAAATATTATCGAACCTGAATATGGCCGGGCGATTCCGATGCAGTTCTGGATAACAAACTGAGTCCAATTGTCGATCTCTATCCGCAAGTTCGTATATAGCTATACTAAAGATATATGGGTAAATATCAGGACTTTTTTGACATCTCACTCGATTGAATTTAAGTTTAAGGGTTTAGTTGATGGAAAAATCATCTACAAAACCCTTCAACTTAGCTCTATGGACTGAGGTCCCCAAAAAATCATGCTATTTACATGCAGAATACTCATCGTCCTTCGATACTAGGCCTATATTCTATAGAGAACATCGTATCACAGATTTTTTGATTACCTGTGCAGTTGAGTTCATTGCCTACAAAGCCAGATCTACAAGTGCAATAAAATGATCCCTGAGAGTTTACACAGTCTGCATTTGGATCACAGTAACCACGATCACATTCGTTGATATCTAGTAATGTATTCAAACAAAAACTGAACATCTGAAACCTGAATTAGTGCGTCCTCGTTACGGCTCAATAACATGGGTTCGATCACAACAACAAACAGCATTCTACTGATGACACAATAATTTATGAAAGGAGTTTCCTGTTTGATCTAACGACACACAGTTACATTACTGAACGGTAAAATGATAGGCCACCAGGTCTTTTTCTGAAGGTACGGAAAGCATTTTATTCAGTAGTGGTATTAGTGGTATTAAGCGTGATGATGGTCCATATCGACCGGCGAATTTCAAAAGTTTCAACGATAATGGAAATATGGGATCATAAGAATAATACTTACTATTGCGGATTTGTATTTAGTTTCACTGAACACAAAACATATGTAGAATGTAAATTATCAATAACAACCCCATTTAGGATTACAATCTGGATTTAGAAATTCGTTTACACGTGGTAATAACAACAAAATCCCCATTTACTTTAGCCTTCTTGAAATTTAATCAAAAATTCAGAATTGGATCGGCATATATACATGTGCAAATAATAATTCGACATCGAATAAAGTTGGTTAAAATGGCCAAATATAAAGTAGGTATTAAAAAAAATTCGTAGAAAACTAAAAAATTTCTTTGATAGCGCAGATGGGAAAGTTCTCATACAAAGCAAAGGCCAGGAGGCATTGTTATAGACAGATTGTTTTGCAAAAATATATTATAACCACTTAATTTTCCTGTTACAAAAACCATTATATGCTGCATAATCGTATTAATTAACCACAATTCCAATTCATTTTCGACAAACATGGCGTTTTGGGTACTTAATGTTTTAAAAGAACATCCTGTTTACTGAGTGATTGTTTCTCTCTGAACTGTTCGAATTGACTAAATTAATAATATTATTTAACATACTTACCTACGCAATCATCTCCACTCTGCTCAAAGCCCTCATTACAAGTACAGACAAAGCTTCCAGGTGTGTCCAAACACGTGGCGTCCATGTGACATGTGCTACTGGAACAACATTCATCAATATCTAGAAATTAATATTAAGATTCCAAATTGCATTTTTCAAAAACGTTCATGGTGATCATGTATGGCGGATAGGTATTGGAAATACACACGTTTGGCCCAATAAAACATTTAGTCCTACTGCAGATTAGTTCCACTTGGCAGTTCAGTTACAGCAGGCGAAGCTGACCGAACAAATTTGGAGAATTTGCTTATTAAAACACAACTTGTTTACCACATTTCTACATTTGCAATAAAGCCGGTAAAAGTCTAATTGATTTAAGAACAGCGAATAATCCGGTTAATAGTTGTTCTTCATAGGCTACAGTAGCAAAAAAAAAAAAACGTAGAAACAAATAAATGTAGATTTCGAAAAAAATTTGGATTAGTGTCAAATAAAGATTAGGTTAGGGTTAAATTAAGATTAAGGTTAGGGGTTAGGGCTCAAAATTTATTCTATTGATAAATTCGGACGTGTTTAACAATTTACTCATGTAGTAAATTCGAACGTGGACTTCATGTTGGAAAGATGATAGCCAAGAGTTTCAAAGGAAAAGAGTTGACTGCTAGTTGTGCCGGGTTAAATAACTTTGTCAATATTTAAAATGTTGAGAAAGTTTTTTACAGTGTTTTTAGAATATTCTTAACTCAAGAATATCAGTTGTGTTTTGAACATGCAAAGTTGAGCATATTCTATTTGAGTAAAATATATATAGAAATTCATGCATGCAGAAACCCTTCGCCTTGCCTGCAAAACTATTATATTTTCTGAACGTGAAATATTTATAGTAGTTTTCATGGTAACACGATAATTTTATTGAGAATATTGTAAATATTTTTAAATCAATACAACAGAAAGACCTCGGCTTGGTATTTCCCGTGCAACCTTCACTTTCGATCAGTAAGTTAATAATATATATGAGGTCAAATATTTCACAAACAAAATGCGTTTTGGTAAACAGCATGACAACATTTAGCAACAAAAGTAGCTATGTTCTGAGCTTGCAAAAAGGTGACTGAACGCCATTGATATTGTATTTTGCTAATTTACTTACCAATTGGCAGGATCAACTCACAGACACCAGACGGTACAGCCAATTCAGCGAGCTTCATCAATGTTCTTTTGGAATAAATATCAATTCGGTTGTTGTCTTTATCCAATACATAAATATATAATCGGTCTACCACTACGCGAATTTCTCCAATGTACCAGATCCCAAGGCTACTTGTTACTCCTGCTTTAGATGTGCGTAGAATTATAAAGCGGTTATTGGAGGGATCGTAGATGACCCAGTATATATTCCCATCTTCAAAGACATAGAGTGATTGCCCAGAACCACCATCATAACTAATGACGCGAACTGAGGAGCTTTCACCAAGGTCATACAGCACAATTGATAAATTGGATGCAGTTACGATAACAAGATAGCTGAAAAGATAGCTCATTAATGAACACTATTTGTGTATTGAGATGTTTAACCTGCTTAAAATTTCTTAATTGTTTCAAACTTTTGAAAAAAGCTGAAAGACAATGTGCATTATATAGTCTAGGACCTGTATATGAGTTTGTATGCATTTCATTTAGGACAGATAATCTCAACTGTTTTATAGGGTAAGTTGACCATGACGGTCAACATGCTAACGCTGCCCGAACCCCAATCCCAACCTCGTACCCAGGGCCTTTGCGCGGTTCAGAGACTCTGGTACGGGAAGCAAAGGCCCTGGTAAACACTGCTCACGTGTGTCCAAAAATATTGGACATTTCGTAATAAGTTAGTTTTCAATCTGGGGGGAGCGGAGCCGATTGATTTTATCAAACATGGCAGCGCGAAGGCGCGACGTTTTCGAGTTTTTGTTGCATGCCATATATGGCATGCATCTTTCATATAGCTCTAAATTTCGTGTCGTGAGCGGTGGTGAGCGTTGGTGAGCGTACCAGCACCTGGCAGATTCATAAAATACGACAAATACCGAGTTTTTCCGACCAGCATTTTCTTGCCGGGTTTTCGTCGAGGAAACGCAAAAGAAATATTGATTATTTGTAATTTGCCGAAAATTTACGTAATTGAGCGCTTTAGAAAAATAAATCGAGGCAGGTAAAGCTTTACTGTTTTTAGCTTGCCTTATATTCTGTTATTTGTTGTGATTTTGGAGCGTTGTACTCGCACTGATTAGTGATTATTTATCAATTATCAGGCGTTTTAATTAATATATTTATATATCGTGAAAGCCTCAAAGCCGCGAACGCTATCAAAATACTCAATTTTTATATACTCAAACTGAAACGGAGCCATTGTGCTCGCACTGATTATATTGTGTGCAAAGCTACAAAACTACAGCACATTTTGTAAATAACATATATATAAATATGAAACAAAAATTGAATTATACTGAAATAGTATTTATACATACTATTGAAATTTAATACAACGAAATAGCCACCATTGTGAAGTACGCATAAGATTCAACATGACATTCAACATGACATTCGATGTAGTGTAAAATAACTCATTCCAATCACTCAAACGTCAAAATGATAAATAATCATTTTCAATCTATAATAGTAATTCACCGTTTTCACGTTTTTTATACCTTTAAAAAGTTACAATAAAGCTAAATCTAAAGGAAATAACATTATTTAGTTATAGATTTGATAAAACCTTGACAGACCTTGACCTTGTTAATGTTATTATTACCGTTGTTGTTGGTTCCAGTGAGGCCAAAAGCTACTGTTAAAAGTAAAGTAAAATTAGGCGGAAATTTTATTTTAAAAGTATAACCTATGTCCTTTCCCAAAATGATTACCCACGCAGTTTCACGAATGATATAACACCCGAGAACGCATCACGTCGTCGTCATGAACCAACGCCAAACAATGATACCGATTGGTTATATCTCCGCACCCCTTACATCTCAGTGCCATCGATAGGAAAATTACCAACATTTTCAAAGACGAAGGTTTCCCCGTTAGTGTGGTCCACAGGTCAACATCATTAAGACAAGCGCTTGCTCCAGGCAGGAGAGAAAACATCAGAAACTGCACTCGATTTAATTGTGCCACAGCCAAGCACAATTTATGTTTTCGGAAAAATGTTGTTTACAAAATCACCTGCGACCAATGCCATGACAACTACATAGGGAGCACTACAAGAAATCTACACAACCGAGTCAAAGAACACCTGACACAAACCACCTCGTCCGTTTTCAATCACTTAAACTCCTGTCAACGCAACAACAGCAACTTCAACATAACCGCCGAAGTTCTTACGAGCGACCCCGATCCTGTCCATTTACGACTCAATGAAGCCATTCACATCCGTAAACATAAACTACAAATCAATTCTCGGAAGGAATACAGCGAACTATAGGATCTCTTATTTTATTTATTTTAATTATCTCATTAGCTTAATTACCTCCTCATCAACTCTCAGTTGTACATACTTTGCAATTCTAATTTAGGACACAGTATTTATAGTTGTTCTCACAAATAACTCACTTTGTCCCTGATGATGTCGTAGACGACGAAAGCTAAGACGTTTTTAAACTTTTTATATTCTTATAGTTTTAAAATAAAATTTCCGCCTAATTTTACTTTACTTTTAACAGTAGCTTTTGGCCTCACTTCAACCAACAACATTTATATAATGCTACTGAAGGACAACTTTGTACGTTTATTGTTACAACTAACTATTAACGGTCCCTTATAAAAAACATTGCCTATACGCGTGTTTCTGCTGGAGTCTACACCGTAGGCTAATTCGCGTGAGAATCTTAAGTTTCCTTATTTTGACATAATAGCTATTTTTAATTAATATATTGATATGTTAAACTTATTGAATCAATATTTTAAGTTTCACGCCAGTTGTACCAAAGGTTTATGTAAGCGCTATAGCGCATCATAAGTTTTCAGATGGCATGTACGCACTGCGTACCTATTTTTATATTATTATGATAAATAAAACTTTCCTAGTGAGATTTAAGAGTGGGTATATATTATCTATGCATTCTACGAGCTTTCTTTCAACAAATTGTGGAATAGCTAACGGTAATACTTATCAAAGATCGAAGGACGAAGATCAAACTGAGAGAAAACTAGTTGAGTGATCTGTCTTTAAACTGTCTATTTTGTATCCAATGCAGCTGCTTGTGTGCGACGTTTTATAAAGAATTAAATAAACATTGTTGATTATAAGTAATTTTTATGTATTGACCAAAGAATATCACTTGGGATTTTATTGTACTTTTTTGGAAGGATAAATCAGAGGGGACATCATATGACATATCTATGGAAACTCAATTCTTCATGTGTATTAAACATGTAGGCCTAGTTATCAAAGCAGGATATTTTGAAACAATTAACTGATCGAGTGACTGGTTGGTTTCCATATGTATGTAGTTTAAAATACAGTTGTGAATGAAATTATACACAGTATCTTGAAACCTTTGTGTGTGTGAGTTAATTTCATATTTATTTTTTTGGGATGTATCATCTATATTTCTGTTTGTCTGGAAGGGGGTGGGGGTGGGGGGGGGGTACCAATCCTGAATCATGAGAAATAATATACAGTCATCTTGAAACAACAAATTTACTACGAATCTTATATCAGTGATATGTGACTTAGGAGTCTTCAAGGCAAATAACAGTCTGTTTACTGTGTGTGCGTTCACCTATTTGTTTACATTTGCAGTTACTGTACATCGGTTCATGATTTATGAAATTTGAACCAAAGCTGTAACATAATATTAGTCACGGCACAAGTCACTAATAATTTTAGGGTAAATATTTTTCTGAAATACTTCATTTGTCAGTTGCATCTTATAATATATACTGTAATTAATAATATCTTGAAAAAAAGCTGTAATTGTACCCTGTCTAATAGCTTTGGTTCAATACAATTGGCAACTGGGCTGTCTTAGAATTCATGAAAGACCTTTGCTACAACCCCAAGAAAACATGCCTTTTATCAGGAGATCAATTAAATTCTCTGCTTCAACCAGATTAACCACACAAATGTTATTGTCACCATTGTGACTACCGACACTTTTTACAAATAATACACCGATAGTTGAGCACCGAGACTCTGACTGACATATCATACTTTGTTTTCAAATATCTTTGGCTTTGGTTAAAAACCAACAATTATACATTCTTAAACATTTTAAATACTTCAGCCTACATAATTTCCATAATGATGGTCAATTATTCCACTTACTGAGAATACTATAATTACTTCTTTACCATAAAAATTCTTTTGGGTTTAATTGAAGTATTATTATTCACAGCTGGTCTAAAAAATTGGGTGTTTTGATGCATCATACTTTTGTCAGTAAAATTAAAAACCTATTTAGTCCTATCCGGCTATGCAGAGTTTTATTTGTATTGAGGAGGTAGGGCTTAGAGAGACACAGAGGCTTAATGAATATGGTTACACTGAATTTTATCAGTAAGTAAATTTCATTTTTTACATCCTGAAACCAAAAATCACCATATTATGCATGAATTACATATCACTTTCACTTGTCACAGAGTGAACATACCAAATTCAAACAACATTCACACTGTTTCTAGATGAAATGATCAACCGATATTTTGGGCAAACAATATAATTCATGAGGGGAAAAAATTAATATTTATATGTGTGCACATAGTTTCAAGATCAGCTAACGGGATTGAAACCAGCTTTCCCAGTTATGCTTGGAGCTGATGAGAACAGTTAGTTTTGAACACAAAATGGCATGGGACTTAATTCATCTAGGTGGCAATATATTGCCTTCTCACCAGCACAATTGATCAAGTCATACACATTCATTACTGCCAATCTCTTTATTATTTATGTCTCATTACAATTGGTATGAACAAATACAATATATTTTCATTATCAGCAGCATCATTACAACTTGTGCATCACCAATATCATCACAACTTGTATTTCACTACCATCATCATCATTATTCTCACCATTCTAATTTTATTAGTCAATCAGAATGAATAAAAAATTTCCTATTTTACACCACTCATATATTACTTAATTGCCCAAGGTCAGGGCCATTTCACATCACTCCAGGATCTGAATACCCTGCAATCACCTTTTCGATATAATACTAAAAGAGAAACAAACGACAAATGTCTTACTGGCACACTGGAATATCATAATTGCCATAAAATAACTGTCATTTGAAACCACATTCTGCTGTAACAGCACAACTGCTCAAGGTTGCAAGGTAAATAATAGGGATGTAGTAAGGTCAGTATTACTGGTAATTGTCTTTTTACATTTTGCTCACAACCAAAGTCCAATTATATGGAGCAAAAGTTAGAATATCCAGCCACTTTTTATTACTCACTTAATCGTACACTTGACAAGTAAAATTGTCTGGTGTTGGACAGAGAAAAATAACAAAGTATGCCATATTTGATTATCCCATATTCCCATTACTGTAGTGTGACTACACAAGACTCTCCCTTGGATGGGTAAAATTGGGGGCTATGGAGATTTAATGGCAAGAAGTGGGGGAAACATTTTCTCCAGTAAAATTTATGGGGGCCATTGGAAATTTATGGGGGCCATTGGAATTTTATGGGGGCCATTGGAATTTTATGGGGGCCATTTGAATCATCAACCAGAGTATTGAGGCGATAAAGAAAAGAATACCCGACTGTAAAATTAATGTAATCTAACTTTCTTGTCACACAAAGTTAGGTAACGTTGGCATTTTCACACTTTTCTATTATTATCGTACTATTCTGTTAAGTATTTATTGGATGAGTCAGAGACCAATGGATGGGTATGAGGGCAGTTAATTTGTAATTTTTGCATGTATTCATTTATTAACTTTTGACTACTGTAATGGTCAGCCAGTTAAATAAGTATTTTACTGAGGGTACTGCCTAACTATTTTACATGTCAAAGAGAACTCCAGTTATGAAAGATTGAATATTTTCTGAGCAAGCTGGAACAGAAAATTTTGATTTTAGTGAACTAAGTGAAGGATGGTGATAACCAAAAAAAAAAAAATGAAGGAGGGTTTATATCCAAAAGCGAAAGATGGAGAAGTAATTAAACGAAGAAAACTAATTATACAAACAGACAGCCACGAATCTGCTGGAATTTAGGATATATAAACTGATAAATATTAAAATATAGAATATAATTTTATATATCGGGTATATATGCATTATAAAATCGTTTACCTCGAATATACTGCATTCTTTATAGCATTCAAAATCCATGTGACTTCAAAGTTTATAATTTCCATCAAAATAAAAACAATCTTAAAATCTGCTGCCTGTTGTTTTAAAATATGAATTTTCAAACAATTGTTATACATTCATATTTTAAAAACCAAAGGCAAAATCATTTGTATTGAAACGTTTATAGATCGTGCATTGCAATGTTCAGTTGTTCATCACCCCACCCGGGATAACATGACCTTAATATGGCGAGGTTACAAAAATGCCCAATATTTTTGGACACACGTGACCAGTGTTTACCAGGGCCTTTGCTTCCCGTACCAGAGCCTCTGAACCGCGTAAAGGCCCTGGGACGAAACGTCCGAAATCAACCACACCCAAGAACGACACTTTCGCCATAGTGCAATCTACCAAAACATACAAGATCCGCGGTGCTTATATGGTTCAGAGATGGTGATTTTAGGGGTGGTCATTGGTAAGTGTGAAATGCCTAGCACTGATATTTTACAAGAAAATGACCATGCAATACTCATAGTCAAATGTCAATTTGTGGCTTATAACTTCAGTTAAACAGCAGTGGATCTACATTACCTTTTTTCCTAAATCTTTTTGATAGAAGCGTAATTGGTACATATTTAATTATATTATTACTGTTTTGGTGTAAAATGGTTAATATTTTGTGACCGAAATGTTTGAAATGTACCTAATAATGGACGTGCTAAATTCTCCACTTTACTCCGCTGTTTATCGCAGATCTCGTTGAAATCCTTCCAAATAAGCGGCTCAGCTCAAACATATCGGTATCAAGCACATTTTAAACAAGTTTTAACTAGGTTTCAAGTAGATCCTAGCTGTTTAACCATCGACAAGGTAAAACCTCAACTTTGTCCAAATTCGGCGCCACTTTTTCATCCCGTTCGGCTGTCCACAATTTGGCCTCGTTCTTCTTCCATCCAAGCCATTTAACAAGTAATATAATGACAAATTTTTAAATTTGAAAAGTGTTAAAAAGTGTTAAGACACTTTGTTGAGGGTATTAAAATAAAAATACAAATAAACTATGCAAAATGCAGCATTTTATCATCCTGTAAGATCTTGCTTACGAG